GCTTCTTCCACAGCGTGCACACGTGAGTCATTTTTGCTCCGTTGTTCCTCAGGAACAGGGATCATAAGCCAAACTAACATTAAATACCCCCCCCCCAAAAAAAAACCAACCATGATGAGAACTGGAAAACAATGAAGAGGTGTGGGCTCTTAACCAAAATCTGTAAGATATTGTAACAACTTTCCACAATTCATCAGACCTCCCTGCAAAACACAACAATGCATTTGAATGCACAGAACTAGATTTAGCATGATGTCGTCAGAGAGACATGAGGAAATGAAGGAAGCAATTTAAGTATCCTTTGAAGAAAGAAAGAAAGAAAGAAAGAAAGAAAGAAAGAAAGAAAGAAAGAACGCCCTGGTGTCACTGGTGGAGCAGGAAAGCAACAAGGGCCATTGCATTCCGTACATGTACTGTACCAGGCTACAGATTGTAGTGGAAGAATGCACTTAGCAGCGCTGAAATGGCACAGCTTACAAGGTTAACAATCTTTTAGCTGATGATTTGTATGTATTTATGAGCACTGCTGAACGACCTTCAAGAATGCCTGTAAGAGACACTGGCAGGGTGCATTAGAGGAACTCAAGAACCTTTTCCTTTTTTTTTAAAAAAAGCTCTAAACAAACAAACAAACAAACATCTTCCTACACTTACAGCTCTGATGCAACAACTGGAAAGAGAACATCAGCAAGCAGAAAATTACAGGATGGAAGAGACTATATCAATTCAAATTGGTAATCCTAACAGGTGCATTTGAGAAAAAAGTTGTTTAGGCTGCAATCCTATACCCCTGTTAAGATGGGAGTAAAAGCTTCTGAACTAAATGAGACTTACTTCTGAGTAGACATGTACAGGCCTGTGCTATTCAGCAACTGACAACCTGATCCTATGCATGTTTTCAAAAAGCTGAGCACCATTGCATGGAGCTTCCTTCCTGATATACATACTTGGAATTGCAGACAAAATTCTTCCAAGTGAAATGGATCTGAAATAACGGCTCTTCTGTCGGCTGCTGTTTTCAAATAAAAAATGTTGGAGCCCAATTTCGACAGGGTGAGCTCTGTGAATCTCAGGACCTTGCACATACTTGAGCCAAGAAAGCGAGTCCAACAAAAGGTATCACCCAACGCATTTCGCTGCTCTCAGCAGGCTCTGTAACGTGCGCCAGACGTGAAAAGCAGAGGCTGTTCCATTACCCTAGATACATTATTCAGAGGGGGGAAATGAAGTGATACAGTCACCACTGTAGTGGAAATAATGCAAGAATGAATCCCTTTTCTATCCCAACAAAGGAAATGCGCTCCACCAGTGGTTTTACATAAACAGCTCTTGTTTATGAAGCCAGATTTCATTACAAGCGGCGAGAAATGTTATCTTTCTGTGGACATGCTGAAATGGACTGCAGCACAATAGGCCTGTGTGATAGGACAATATTACAAAGTCAAGCCAGCAGCTCTTGTTTATCGTTATCAAAAACATTCCCCTGTACACAGTTAATGAATGGCCAGAACATTGGATATTAATAGAGAAAGGTTATGAGCAGCTGATTGCTAAACCTCCTCATCACCAGAAGCCCTTCATGGCTGAACATCAAGACCTTCCTCAACCTTAGCAGGGCACCATCAGGGAGACAAAAAAGAAGCAAACTAAGCCAGAGGCCAAAACCAAACATCAGAATTTGTATGCTGCAGAATAACATTTTCTCTTTTACACAACCTCCGTTTGAGGCTATTGTCCTATCCATGCTCATCACTGAACTCACTGAGATCAGCTTGTTATTTTTTAAAAAAGGATAGCTGCTAGCCGCTACTAGAATCAGATACCAGGGAAAAAGAAATCCCAAACCTAGAGTCATTACAAATCCAAAAAATATTTACATTACAAAGTTCATCACAAACACAGCCTTAAGTAAAGCACTTCTGGGTTCTCTGGGATTCACTTCCCAAAAGAACAGACCACTCAGCCAATACAAGTAAATTTAGTGGTCACTGCTACCCCAGCAATCACATAGCAAAGCCCTTACTCTCACTATCCCAGCTTGTCATTGTTCCAACAAAATATAAACCCATTTTAGCATTAGCATGTAAGTTTTAATTCGAGGAAAGGAGAATTCACCCATAAATCTGTGTACTGGTCTTTATGCAAGGTTAATGATTTGCTAGCTAAGAGTCAAAGGTCAGATTTTTCTTTTTTCTTTAAACAAAAGCCCCAAGAACATAAACATTCTACCATTTTTACTTTGCAAGGTATTTTCCGACATCGCAGCTCTTGACCAAATGTCAACACAGTAAACATGGAAGGGCATTGTTTGTATCTGTTTACACATGTCTGTCTTCCCAGAAAAGAAACCTAAATGGGTTTGGCCCTTCTGGGAGAAGTTCCCTGTTTTGATACTCCTGCGTCAGCCTGCATAAGGCAGGGCGAGAGCGATTAATGATGAAATCCACCAAGATGAGTTAAAAAGCTAGGAAGAACAACAGAATCAATAGACATAATTGATAACTGCATGCAGCACTGCATGACGAACAAGTCTAACCGAAATGGAGCAAAAAGAGAAGAGAAAGAAATGAGCATAGCAGCAGTGAAGAAAGAGGGGAAAAAATACAAGGTTCTGCCTTCCAAGGCTGCCTACTCACTGCAAGGATTATAAAGGATATTAACAATATACATGCACAGCACATGGCATTAACAAATGTGAACATAAAATCCTGCGGAGCTATGGGAGCTAAACTTTGGAACAAAAGGCTCTAAAGGGTAGTAACAATCGATGATTTACATTCACTAGGTAGGACAACAGAGGGAACAATAGCTCTTTGAATGAGACTCCAACATATTAAAATTACAGAGGAAGGAATTAGAAGCACCTCTAAATGATTTAAAGAAACACAGCCGGTTCTGAGGATCAGGAAAGGCCAAGAGATATTAACTGAGAAATAAGAGGAGCAGGGGGCATTTATTTATTTATTTAAGTTAGGATACGAAAAGTGGAAAGCAGGGCAGCGGAATGGGACTCATGCCTAGTGACAACTTTCCTTGCTTCCCAAAGGCTGGTGTTCAGCTGTCCTGTTTTTTGTTTCCCTCCCCCCCAAAAACCCCACTAATCCAGGAGAAAGGAAGAGAAACCACAGGAGGAAGCGTTTCGGTGGTTGCCGTGTGGAAGTACTGGGTTCAAGTACACATGGCAAGAAAAGGGGTAGGCAGCCAGATGAGGAAGGGATGATGCTTTGCAACAAGGCAAATTTGTGCCATCTAAAAAGGAGGATCAGGGCTCACAGGCTAATCAAGCGGGTGTGTCCACAGGTTTGGCGGAAAGGAAGGATGAACAGTAGGGCAGTCTAAGCCTGAAAAAAAAAGTTCTTAGGGACGCAGCCCAGGACAAGGGCACACAAGCAGGAATGCGGAGCACTCTTTGAACAATGCACTCTGTGCAGTATATATAGATGGGAGACTACAGGAGAGAAAAATGCTACTAGTAAGGGTAGGATATGTAGGGCTACAGGACAACACTTAGGATAGTACGAGAAAGGGGCAACAAGCAGAAACACTGTTCAGATACTTGACATGTAAAGTACAATGACCAGGAGATCAATGGCTCTTGTGGTGTGCCTCCTATAGGTGGGCTAAGCAGTCAGAAAGGTCAAGGCTGTGAGGTGCAGACTGCAGAGCAGGGGAAGGGGTTGGTGCTGAGCAGGGTGCAAGGTCCAGAGTAATACTATGTGCTGCAGCATTGGGGTGATGTGGGCTTCCCAGAATTAGGTGCGGAGGCATCTGCCCAACATGTGCTGGGAGAGATGCAGGGATTCATTTGCGAACTGGAAAATCCCGGGGCTCAGATTTGCTTGAGGAGTACACAATCTGTTTCAAACATTCTGCTCCCTTTTCTCAAATGGGGAGTGAAAGGCTGTTAAGGGGAACAATGGGACATTTTGTTTATTAATTGTTTCTTTAACCTACGCATCACCATTGCAATTCACGGTACTCTGCTCACGGTACTCTGCACGGTACTCAGCGGCTCTTTCTCTCAAGCCAGCCTGCAAATGTAGGTGACGGTGGGAGGGAGATTCCTATATCATAACTCCAATATTTAAAATGATCAAGTCCAGTTAAGCTCTGTGGAGGAAGGCATGCCCTGGAGAGTACAGAGCAGGGAAGGAAAGGAGTAGTAAGTGGTTTTGGTATAAGGGGAGATGGTTACTGTATTATGAGGTAGAGGGATGGTTCAGCATGAGCACAATACGAAGGCAGGCAGGCAGGCTGCTGCAGATAGGGCTGACACCTTTCTGCCCCGGCTTCTGTTGCAGATTTAACAGCTTTACTATGGGCAGAAATTCCACAGGTGCAGTACTTTCCCTCCTCCTCCCCCAACACCAGCTGCTAAATTCTGTATATTCTGCAACTATTAAAGGTGCACAAGTGTGGGTGGGGGACAGAGTGGCGACCCTATTGATGAAGGGGCTCTGCTCTGAGGACAATTCCACAGGACTAAGATGGTATGTTGAGGACAGGGGACGGGTGAATAGAGTCTGTTAGGCTGCATGTGCCCAACTTGCAACTCTCTTGTTATTTTCCGCCTCATCACCAAACCTACCCCAGAAGCAGGCTGAGCAGCAACTGCAATAAATGCAAGTTCCCAAGTCTGAAGGAACAGCCAAGCCACGTGTGTGCCCCCTTACCACCACAGCATGCTTGAATACAACCAATGCCATATAAGCAGGCTATGGGAATGACACACACTCTGGAACCCCCGTCCAGAAGATCCAACCAGGCCCACTTCCTCGAGAGGAAGTGCAGAAAGTGTAGCCTAGTGGTTAGCAGGTCAGAGAGAGAGAACACCCACTTGCGAAATCAGTAGTGAAGCTGGGGCCCTAGCCTACCTCGCAGGGTTGCTGCTAGGATAAAGGAGTGGGGAACAGAGCCGGCAATGAACGTAAACAAGGAGGTTTAAGCTCCCGGCGCCGGGAGAGCCAGGCTTCCCTCCTGCCCGTCCTGCTGCTGCTCACCTGGGCGTTTTGGCGGCGGCGGCGCTCTCCCGCTTGTCCAGCACTCCCGGCACGCAGTTGGTGAGCTCGGTCCAGTCGGCGTGCAGCCCGCAGCTCCAGCCGGTGGAGAAGCGCGAGAAGAGCCAGGTCTCCCTGCGGTTGGGCCGGTAGCAGGTGCACTTCTTCTGGCCGGGCCGGCAGTCGCAGGGCACCTCGAGGCGCACGTTCTGCACCAGGTGGCGGCCGAAGGTGGTGCCGCCCGTCTTCTGGATGTGCAGGAAGACGATCACGTCGTCGCCCTTCATGTCGAAGGCGAGCTGGCGCTCCAGCTCGCGCACGGGGAAGTAGTACTTCTTCACGTAGTGCGGGTCCGGCGTGGGGAAGAGGTCCAGCTCGTCCTGGTAGGAGCGGAGGCTCGGCGAGCCCAGGCTCAGCCCCGGCCCCACATACTGGTACAGGATGAGCATGAAGCACACCGAGCCCGCCACGATCAGCAGGAACTTGCTGTTCCGCTCAACCATGGTCCTTCCAGCGCGCTTCATATGTCACCATCTCCCGGCCAGGGGGAGGCGGCGGGAGAGGAGCTGCTGCTGCTGCTGGCGGAGGCGCCCCCGGCGACGTCGGCTCCCCTTTCGCCCGCTCCCCGGCTCCGAAGAAGCCCCGCGAAACCACCGCGACGAAAAAGCGCCGTGCGCCCCGGAGAGCGCGCGGAGGGCGAGGGATTCCCACCCCTTTCCTCCCTCCCTCCCTCCCCGCCCGGCCCCCCTTCAGTCAGATCCGCAGCCAGGGGGGGCTTCCTCCTGCCAAGCGGCGATCAGCCACCGGGGACGGGGGGGGGCGGCGAGAGAGAGAGAGAGAGCGCGGCTCCCAGGGTCGACCGCCCTCCCCCGGTTCCGCCTCCCTCGCAGCCCCGTCCCGCCTCTGCCTTCGGGACTTTGCCTCTGCCGCTCCTGGCCCCGGCTCCGATCCGGCCGAGGCGCCGGGCGCGCAGCCCCTTCGGGGTCTCGCGGAGGCAGGGCTGGCGGAGGCGGCTGCACGCTAGTTCAAGTCCTTCCTGCCTCGCTTCCTAGGGCAAAGCCCCGCCGCCGCCGCCGCGCTCCGAGCCCAGCATGCACAGCGCCGCCTCCTCGCGCTCCGCTCGCCGCTCCAGGCGCGCGCTGGCGGAGGGAGGCAGAGCAGCAGCCGCGGCGGCGGCAGCACCACACAGGCACGCCGCAAAGGCAGCGTTTCTGGAGGCTCCCGAGTTGCCAGGGCCCGCCCGCAGGATAATTTCGTTATTTCCCTCCTGGTTCTTTCGAGGCTCTTTCACTTCCTCTTTCTCCTTCCGCCAATGGGGAAGCGCACTGAGCGGGGCGGCTCGAGCCTGGAGGGGCGCTGGCGTTCGGAGGTGGCTCTCTCGAGGGAGCTTTCCTGACCTCCCTCCACCACCACCCCGTAAGAAAGAAAAAGGGGCATTAAGTTTTCAGGTCAAAAGCTTGAGTCTCTCCACCCCAACCCCTGCATGAGCAGAGCCTACAGGCTCCTGCTTTAGGGGCTTCTTGGCTTTGCCTCACCTCCTCCTCCTCTTGAACAATTGAAAGGAATCGGCAGAAATTCAACAGGTGCGGTTTCCCGTTCGCATCAAGGTGCAGCGCCGGGCAAAGAGTGGCCTCTTCGTTTCTGCTTGTTGTGGGAATGTGAAAAGGCGCAAAAGCCCCAGCGGAAAGAATAAAAGTGGCTGCCCTGCTGCTGTCTGGTTTTGGAAAGGAATTTGAGAACCAGTTGTGGTGAAATATCATTCTCAGAAATGAGTTTTCTATTTTTAAGTTAACATACAATATTGACGTAGCAAGCTAAATGGTGAGGTTTAAAACGTCATTCAGGCTTCTTCATAACAAGCCTCTTTTTTGGAGCCCTTGGGAGTGCCTGCCAGCAGCTGAAAGCTTTTCTCTACAGCCATGAGCAGCAGTGAACATGGAAATTCTCGTGTCTGTGTTTGTAGGAGTTTTGTGATTCCATCTAGAGACAGCTCAGTTGCAATAACAATAACAACAATTTATTATTTATATCCCGCCCATCTGGCTGGGTTTCCCCAGCCACTCTGGGCGGCTTCCAACAAAATATTAAAAATACACTAAAACATCAAACATAAAAAACTTCCCAATACAGGGCTGCCTTCAGATGTCTTCTAAAAGTCAGATATTTGTTTATTTCCTTGCCATCTGATGGGAGGGCATTCCACAGGGCAGGCACCACTACTGAGAAGGCCCTCTGCCTGGTCCCATGTAACTTCGCTTCCCGCAATGAGGGAACTGCCAGAAGGCCCTCAGAGCTGGATCTCAGTGTCTGGCCTGAACGATGTGTGTGGAGACTCTCCTTCAGGTATACTGAGCCAAGAATACAGATGACCCTAAAAGACTCCCTCTGGTTTTGCCTTCCTCATGTTCAGTCCAGTTTCACTAGGTCAGGGATGGTCTTCCAGGTATTTCCCCTCACATATTTTTTGGACTCCCAACTCATCAGCCGCAGAGAGCACAACCAATTTTGGGGGATGATGGGAGTTGTGGTCCAACAACATCTGGAACATCTGGAAGGGACAGAGGTTCTGCATCTCTCACAAAAGTGAAGAACAGCCAAATCATGAGAATTCTGAGCAACAATCCTCACTTACTTGAGAGTAAGCCCCGCTGAAATCAGTGGGGCCTGTTTATGAGTAGACATGTAGAAGATTACACTGTCGGAGCCACACAACTACAATTGCTGGATAAGACTTGAAATATCTCTCTGATTCATTCTATGTCTGCATTTACCACTTCAAGGAACGCCTTTAAATAACTGCCTTTTAACTTGGCCATCTAAAGAGGGAATCTTGTTGCTGTTTTGTTAATGTCTTTACTTCTGCAAGGGAAAACACAAGCAGCAAGAGAATTTTCATGAGAAACAAGCTTCCCCTCCTTTCCAAATGTGACTGCCCCCTTCACATCAGCCACAGTAATCCTTTCATTGTGATGTCACAAATAGCTGCTATTCTGATGTCACAAAGGCAGGATTATGAGGATGGGAAGTGGCAGAGAATACATAGCAGAAGCATGCAACAGACAGAGGCCCATGATTAAGGAAAACATGAAGGAACCTGAAATGGCTAAGAGGGCAAATCCAGCCACATCAGCGTCTATGGGGGACCGATTTGGCATGAATTTACGGAGTTTAAAAAAGCAGTGTAGTTGGCACCCAAAACGGTTGGGACTTTTTTTAGAGCAACAACAACAACAACAACAACAGTGCCTAAGTAGGGCTTGTGGATTTCACAATTGCTGACTGTGGAGGAGGATGATTCAACAAGGCACAGCACACAAATCCAAAAGGGGCTAATCTGCCTCCAGGAAGGCTTTCTCTCTGCTGCTCTGAAGTGTAACAGAGGTCAAGGAAATCCCAGAATGCAAGCAGTGAAACTGCCATGTTTTTGACAGTAGTTGTAAATATTTGGCAGTAAAGCTGACGGGATACTGACAGCAGTGGTAACTCCTGATTGAGGAGAAAGAGGACCAGCTCTTGTTGGGTTGGGTGGATTTGTGGCCCTGCCTCAAAGCAGTCTCAATTGCCTTCTGTGTCCTTCTAAAGCCATAGTGATTGCAGGTACCAGACAGTGAAGGGTAATGCTGTTTGTGGGTTCTTACAAGTTCTCTATTCCTATTTCCAGCCCCTCCCTCGTTTTCTCCATGTGATCTGTCCTGCAAATGATGTGGAATCCTGGGTGATGGGTGAGAGTTCCCCATGAGAAAAACTGAAGTTACATGTCAATCCCTGAACAGAGGTAAATTACTCTAAAGTTATTTTTCATCACGGTATTTATGCTTTATAGTTCTCCAAGCGTTTTTTTATTTCCTTGTTCTGCATGTGTGGGTTCAGAGTTGGCTGTGCCACAGAGGCTGTTTAAAAACTTATAGTGGTACTGACAGTTGCATAGAAAGCCTATCTAAAGGGGAGGGGCATGGTTTTTGCATGGTGTGGAGACAATGTTTTTCCTTTCGCTGTACAGTGGTACCTTGGAAGTTGAACAGAATCTGTTTTGGAAGTCCGTTTGACTTTCAAAACACTCAGGAACCAAGGAAGCTCCTGCAGCCAATCAGAAGCCACGGAAGCCGCGTTGGACGTTCAAGTTCCAAAGAATGTTCGCAAACCGGAATACTCACTTCCGTGTTTGTGACATTCGGGAGCCAAAACGTTTGACTCGCAAGGTTTTCAGGATCCAAGGTATGACTGTACTAGAATCCAAAGTTATCCAGTGAAACAGACTAACAGGAGATTCAAGACATCATTAAGTTATGGTATTTCACTGCTACCAGTTGTGATGGTCACTAGCTCAGATGCTTTTCAAAGGGGGTTAGACAAATTTATGGAGGATAAGGTGTTAAATGACTCCAAGTCATGATAACTAGATGGACCTTTCAAGTTCAGGGGCAATTGCTGAGGAGCAACAAGAAGGCAAAGTCCTGCTTGGGGACTTCCCTGGGCTATCTGCCTGGTCACTGTGGAAAATGGGAAGCTGGACTTTGGTCTGATCCGGTGGTGCTCTCCTTCCTTCCTTACAGTCTGTCATCTGTAACATCATACCATGTAAAGGGGTGGATTTCAATGCATTTTGCAAGCTTACATTTCCAGTTAAATGTGGAGGTCTGGTAAAACTTCTTTGGTGCATCGCTGAAAGACAAAGCTACAAGCAACCACCTCTCTTAGTGGATGTAAGCACCACTCGTTGAGTTCATAGGCAGCCATAGTAGCACGAAGGGGAATCCAAAAAGTCTGTCATAAAAATATGATGTGAAAATCCAAAGGGAAGGGTGGGGAATCCAACAAAGCTAGGATTATATTTCTTTGTAAGAGCTATTTCCCATATGCATAAGTTGGAAGGAAAATAATATTGCAAAGGTTTCAGTTTATTTATTTTTTACCAGTATACAAGCTAGAATGAGACAGCTGTGTTAGTCACAAGGTATACAGGCAGGGTGAATTACACAACTCAGATCTTCCCAAACTAGATAAAATAAAAGTCTTTATAACACTCCAAAGAATCATGCTGCGTTCGTGCTGTTTATTAGCTTTGATTCCCCCTCTCCATTTAAAAAATACTGCTACTTTCTCTATATTTGTGTGTATCTTATTTCAGAATAATTATATCATCATTATGGAAAAACCACAGTGGACAGTTGGAGGTCAATTTAAGTTTGGGAATTTATACCTTGATTTGGGAAGTGCTGGCATTTATGCACTATTTTATGTAAGTGGTTGAAATATATGTGAAGCTATAAAGAGCCACAAAGCAGTTTGTGGTATTGATGTTTGCCTCTGGTTGTAAAAGTATATAACTAGTGGAATAACCTGCTGAGTGTTAATTCTGAGCAAGGGTTATTTACTGTAGAATGAGTTAGCAGCAAATGTGAAGGATGAAGAGAATATTAAGAAACCATTGTTTACCTGTACCATGTTGATTGTCGGTGGTAAAAGTGGAGCAGCTTTAATAGATCTCCTTCCTAGCTCATGTTGTTGGCAAGTATATTGTTTGGTGGCTATGGGATAAAATGCACACACATAGTTTAAAAAGAGGAGCCGATTATCTCCAGAGACGATAGATAGATACTTTATTGTGTAAGATAGATACTTTATTGTGTAAGATAGATACTTTATTGTTACATATTTTAAAAGTACAGTGGTACCTCGGGTTACATACTCTTCAGGTTACATACGCTTCAGGTTACGGACTCTGCTAACCCAGAAATAGTGCTTCAGGTTAAGAACTTTGCTTCAGGATGAGAACAGAAATCGTGCGGCGGCGTGGCAGCAGCTGGAGGCCCCATTAGCTAAAGTGGTGCTTCAGGTTAAGAACAGTTTCAGGTTAAGTACGGACCTCCGGAACGAATTAAGTACTTAACCCGAGGTACCACTGTAATGAATGCAGTTGCATTCCTCAGCTTGCAGCACATTCAAGCACAAGACTCAGCTGCACATTTCTGAAGTGCAGTCTCTGAACAGCCATCCAACTTCATGAACAGCATGCTGGAATGATGACCAAACGCCAGAGATTAGTAATAGAAAAGACAAGTCTTCCTTGAGAACATATCTGTCTTCCTGACCCTTCAGACTCTTCCCAGGCCACACCCCCTTTCTCCAGGCCACACCCCCTTCACAGCTTTGCTTTTGCCTAGTTGGAATGTGTCCTTGACTTCTGGAAATACCTCTCACACGTCTGCATGAAGGACAGAGAAGGGTGTGTGACAGTGTTAG